TCCTCCGGGTGGCCTCAAAAGGGCCCCCCCCAGCTCGTTGCGTCTCCTCGGTTGGTTGTTTGAAACATACGCCCAACAAACGCTGGAGGCGAACAAAGGTGGGGGGGGATTCAACACCACCACCACCACCGACTTTCAACATCAACACCGCCAATTCCCCATTTCCCATTTTCGCGTCACTCATTTCGTCACGTCACGATCGCTTTCGTTTTCCTCGCAGACGACATCACGGCACCAACCATCATGTCGGCAGCAGAGAGACCGCGCCGTTCGCGGCGGCAGGCTACCATTGTTGAATCCTCAGACGAGGACGAGATTGGCAACACCACCAAGGCGCAGGAGGAAGATCTCGAAGAATTCACGCCTGCGCCCGCGCGCAGCCCAACACGAAGGCCGCGAAGGAGTGTTGCGTCCACCGTATTCTCCTCCACACCTACAGCACCACGGCCACGCGGCAGGCCTAAGAAGAGCATGTCCAACGTGTCTACATCCACCATCGAGCCGAGCCAGGTATTCGACCCTGAAACAACCATTGCCGAACTAGAGCCTGAGAAGAAGACTCCCTCCCCAAGAAAACGCAAAAGCGTCGCACCCCGAGCCTCCAAGGCAAAGACGCCAGATCTTGAAGCACCCCTGGCCACGCCCAAGCCCTCGGCTTCTCCCGATGCGTCAAGGCTGCATGCCATTCCGCTTGCTGATATCACAACTGCGAGCGTCAATGAGCAGCCGTCTTTCGTCGACGAAAGCCAGTCGGCAGTCAAGCCGATTCACGCTATGGACACGCTTCTTGAGAAGCCGATGGACATTGTCCTCAAGTCGCGCAACATGACGGTCCCCATCGTCGAAAACACCATTGCGAAGCCGCGCCTCGTTATCACCCACTTGGTGCTGACCAACTTCAAAAGTTACGCAGGTCGCCAGGAGGTCGGTCCCTTCCACGCGTCCTTCTCTTCAGTCGTCGGGCCCAACGGTTCCGGCAAATCCAATGTCATCGATTCACTGCTGTTCGTATTTGGTTTCCGCGCCAGCAAAATGCGACAGGGCAAGCTTTCGGCGCTCATTCACAACTCGGCGCAGTACCCTAATCTTGACCACTGCGAGGTCTCGGTTCACTTCAAGGAGGTCATTGATCAGCCCAACGGCCCGCCCCTCGATATTCCTGATTCCATTCTTACCGTGTCGCGCAAAGCGTTCAAGAATAACTCGAGTCAATACTACATCGACAATAAGTCGTCCAACTTTACAACCGTGACGACCCTTCTCCGCGACCGCGGCATCGACCTTGATCACAAGCGGTTCCTCATTCTCCAGGGCGAGGTTGAATCCATCGCGCAGATGAAACCCAAAGCGGCCAACGAACATGACGATGGCCTCCTGGAGTACCTTGAAGACATCATCGGTACTTCCAAATATAAGACGCCAATCGAGGAGACAGCGGCGGAGGTAGAGACACTCAACGACATATGCATGGAGAAGAGTGGGCGCGTCCAGCACGTCGAGAAGGAGAAGAAAGGCCTCGAGGACAAGAAAGAAAAGGCCCTGGCGTTCATCCGCGACGAGAACGAGCTCGCAATCAAGCAGTCGGCGCTCTACCAGCTCTACATCAGCGAGTGCAACGATAATCTGTCGGTCACTGGCGAAGCCATCAGTCAGATGCAGGCACAGCTGGATATCGAGCTGGAGAAGCACCACGGTGGCGAAAAGGTCATCAAGCAGCTCGAGCAGACATACGCGCAGGGCCGCAAGGAGTTCGAGGCCCACGAGAAGGACGCCCAGGGCCTCGCCAAGGAGCTAGCCAAGTTTGAGCAGGAACGTGTCAAATTCGACGAGAAGCGCAAGTTCCTGACGGACAAGCAGAAGAAGTTGGAAAAGACGACAGCCAACTGCGAAAACTCTGCCAAAGAAACTGATGAGACGATCGTCGAGTGCGCCGCTCTCATCGAGCGAGGCGCTAAGGAGATCGCCTCACTCGAAATCCGTATTGAAGAAGAAGAGGCCGAGCTCACAACGATTCGCGAGAGCCTCAAGGGCAAAACGCAAAAGTTTTCCGACCAGATCGCAGCTAAGCAAAAATCACTCGAGCCCTGGAAGGAGAAGATCAACCAGAAGCAGTCGGCTATTGCCGTGGCCGAGAGCGAGATGAACATTCTACTTGAGAAGGCTAATGCTGGCGAAGTCGCCATGGAAGAGATGCAAGCCAAGATTGCCTCTATCAAAGAGAGCCGCCAGACAAAAGCCCAGGAGCTCGAGGCTTGCCAGGCGGAAAAGGCAGCTCTTGAGGAGGAGGCCAAGGAGGTCAGCGCCGAGATTGAGGCTCTCGCCAAGGACGAGCCACGAATCCGGCAAAAGGTGTCCAACGCACGGCAAAAGGCCGACGAGGCGCGGTCAAACCTATCCCAGACGCAGACTCAGGGCAACGTCTTGACGGCGCTGATGCGCATGAAGGAGTCAGGTCGCATTGACGGATTCCACGGACGCTTGGGCAACCTTGGCGCCATCGACCCCAAGTTCGACGTGGCCATCTCGACGGCATGCCCTTCGCTAGACAACTTCGTCACCGATACGGTCGAGGCCGGTCAGCAGTGCATCGAGTACCTGCGCAAAACAAACCTCGGCCGTGGCAACTTCATCTGCCTTGACAAGCTGCGAGCGCGCGACTTGCAACCAATTCAGACGCCCGAGGACGCGCCTCGGTTATTCGACCTTGTCAAAGCCAAGGAGGATCGTTTCCGGCCCGCCTTCTACCACGCCATGCAAGACACGCTTGTGGCCAAGGATCTCGCACAGGCAAACCGCATCGCCTACGGCGCGAAACGATGGCGCGTCGTGACACTCGACGGAGAGCTCATTGACAAGTCAGGTACCATGTCAGGTGGTGGCACCACAGTCAAGAGAGGTCTCATGTCGTCCAAGCTGGTCTCAGAAACAAGCAAGGACCAGGTTGCCAAGCTCGAGGCGGACCGTGACGCTCTGGACGAAAAGTTCCAGATGTGGCAGGACCATCAACGAGAGCTCGAGAACAGGCTCCGCACGCTCAACGACCAGATCCCGCAGCTCGATACCAAGATGCAGAAGATTGGCCTCGAACTCGAGTCGGCGGCCAAGAACCTGGCGGATGCGCAGCGCCGCGTCAAGGACATTGCCAAGGAGCACCAGCCGTCTCAATCGGACAACAACCGGATGGCTGAACTTGAAAAGGAAATTGCCAAGCTCAACAAGGCCGTCGAGGGCCTGCACGAGGAGACAGCAGGCGTCGAGGAAGAAATACAAGCGCTGCAAGACAAGATCATGCAGGTCGGCGGCGAGAAGCTGCGGATCCAGAAAGCCAACGTTGACGCGCTGCGAGCCGACGTCACATCGCAGAGCGAGGATATCTCCAACGCTGAGGTCCGCAAGGCCAAGGCGGAGAAGCAGCGTGTCAAGCTTGAGAAAGACCACGCCAAGGCAACCAAAGAGATCGAGGCGGCGGCGCGTGATCTCGAGAAGCTCGACAACGAGATTGAGAACCAGGGCGAGAAGGCCGAATCTTTGACGAGCCGGGTCGAGGAGGCGCAGGAGGCGCTGGCAGTCAAGAAGGAGGAGCTCGCAGCCCTCAAGACGGAGCTCAATGGGAAGACGGCCGAGCTGAATGAGACGCGGGCCGTCGAGATCGAGATGCGCAACAAGCTCGAAGAGAACCAGAAGCAGCTGAACGAGAACGAGAAGAGGCTGCGTTACTGGGACGACAAGCTGTCAAAGCTTGTGCTGCAAAACGTTGAGGATCTCACTGGAGAGCCTGTGTCTGAGGACGCGCCGCCTACCAAGGATGAGCCTAAAGAGGAGGACGTCGACATGGACGCCCCAGAGGCGGACGAGGACGCCAGTATGGAGGACGCTGACACAACGGTGCGACCGGATCCCACGGCGCGCGTGCGCCAGCCGCAGGAGCTCCCTTCGTACACTCCAGACGAGCTGGCGGATATGAGCAAGGAGAAGCTCAAAGGGGAGATTGCGGCACTCGAGGAGAAGACGCAGAACGTCAATGTCGACCTCGGTGTGCTCGCCGAGTACCGTCGGCGCGTGGAAGAGCATGCGGCGCGCTCCTCGGACCTCGCATCGGCAGTGGGCCAGCGCGATGTGGCCAAGAAGCGTTGCGACGAGCTCCGCCGGCTGCGACTCGAGGGATTCATGGAGGGCTTCGGCATGATCTCGCTAAGGCTCAAGGAGATGTACCAAATGATCACAATGGGCGGCAACGCCGAGCTCGAGCTCGTGGACTCGCTTGACCCCTTCAGCGAGGGCATCCTCTTCAGCGTCATGCCACCGAAGAAGTCTTGGAAGAACATCAGCAACCTGTCTGGTGGTGAAAAGACGCTCAGCAGTCTGGCGCTCGTGTTCGCACTGCACCACTACAAGCCGACGCCGCTTTACGTCATGGACGAGATTGACGCGGCTCTTGATTTCCGTAACGTAAGTTGTGCTGAATCGTTGAGGTCATGGGCAAATGCTAACAAGACACAGGTCTCAATCGTGGCCAACTACATCAAGGAGCGCACCAAGAACGCCCAGTTCATCGTCATCTCGCTGCGCAACAACATGTTCGAGCTCGCGGCGAGACTGGTCGGCGTGTACAAGGTGAACCACATGACGAAGAGTGTGACGATTGAGAACCAGGACTACATCACGAGGCAGAGGCAGGCGCAGGCGCAGGCGACGGGGACGCAGCAAGTGACTGCGCGGTCATGATGATAATGACGCCCGGGGCGTGAGGGATGATTGGCATGTATGTGTACAGCTTGAGGGTCATGATTCACGAGAAGGGTTGGGCAAGGGTATGATTTAGTGACTGGGCGGAGTTCATGAAATGTCTGTGTTTGGATCGACTTGCGTGTTCTCCTTTGCCGATGATCGAGGTTTCTACAGTAGTGATTTGTCTTGCAGCTCTCTGATTTTCAAAGTCCGAACCCCACGAGATCAATAGCCGAGAAACTGCAATCTCCACCACGTTTGTGGGCGAATAGCAATCTGATGGAAGCACGTCTGTCATACTCTGGCTGCGGTGTCTTAAGCACGCGAGGACCCAGCTTGCGGGTTCGGTGGTAGGTGTAAGGTGCATTGGTCTCATGGCAAGTCGATAGTCTGCACAACGAGGCGAACCTGTCTACCACGTCTTGTGTGATCTTACCCCTGGACTGGCTGAAAAGCTCAACTGCAGGATCTGATGCGAGGGCCGTTACTCAGCCGATCTGAGGCGTAATTGAAAGGTTCGATGAAATGTGCTATCGAGGGTAAATGATTGTATCGTGACACGTTCCAGCAACGATGTAAGCAAATAACAAGCTTTGTACTCCATGAATTCCATGTTGTCGAGCGATCGGTATCCCGACTTTCCAAGGTAGATATACGAGGTTCTCTCAATGGCATGCTACCGAACTCGGCCGTAAAAGGCTGAGACCAATGGTTTTCAGCTCAGCAAAGATTCCGAGCTCTAGAGTTAGCCCAAGTTCCGACTGAATTGAGTTGTTATATAGTTGCGAAAACAGACTCCAGTCAGTTCGTAACGTGTTCCCCGTGGACGTCCTATTTTGTGTCATCCTAAATGCAAACAGAAATTTCGAAGGCCTTGTCGATATGCTGATTCTGTCTTTGTTCGCCATTTTGGCCTACGTTCTCCCAGTCTGGGCTGAATGCTCTGCCGATAACCTTGTTCGTGCTTTTGAACGAGCTGAAGCTTGGCCGTATTGCGCCTCCTTGCTTGGCCCGAAAGACTCGAGAACGACGGTACCTCCGCCGCGGGCTGCTGCTACATACGCTCCTGACCGGTTGATTTCCGCGGTGAGTTATATCCCAAAGTCTATTGCTTCTCTCAGTATCTAATCAGGCGACTGGCTACGACAGTGCTCTTGTCTCTTGTCACCATCAATTTCATCTTCTGGACAGGTCTCCAGCCACAGCGCTGGTGCGACTCGTTCTTATGAGCCTGTTATTGTCTCCACGACCTCCGCTTGTGGGCTCGACAGCATCCACGTCTCGAAACTACACAACAGCACGCAAAGCCATATTCACACCAAAAGCAAGACAACGAAGTCTCGGATAACGACTACTCGTTCCGCTTCTAGCTCTACCTCAAAACATTCCGGCCCGAAGCCCACGTCAAAAAGCTCCAAGACACGATCAACGACGAGCCGCTCCCTCTCATCGACTACAACCACACAGACTCGCATCACATATGCCGCTCGACCCCGGACCTTCACTGGCGTCAGCGTCACGGGCGATTTGGACGCGACCGGCTGCTATGCGGTGCCTACGCCGACTGGCAGTCTCCGAGAGTCACGTCTTAACAACACAGATCGCAACCCCCCGTATGTAGAGGCTATGTACTTTGACCAAAATGCCACGCAAGCAAAGTATGTACGCGTTTTGGACCAAGCCTTGAACAGCCTCTTCTTTGACATTTCAGATCTCGACCGCATCGTGATTCAAGATAAAGAGAAAAACTCATTGGCCATCGACAATAAGGGCATTCACTTTGCGAGTTCGACGTGCAAGGTCAAGGTTGATGTCATGATTGACAATTTCTTCGGCCAGTTGAACAACATTACGAACACCACATGCCTCGGTGCTGTGCCTTCGCCTAGCAACACTACATCGATCGATCGAAAGGACGCGAGGGGCTTGAGGGATGATGTCAAGCCACGCATGATGGCTCTCGAGTCTTTCTTCGTCCTGCTCAAAATGAAGGACCAGTGCGGCGAGCCACTGCGCCCCGAACTCCGTCCCACCGTTCGCATCGGGCCTCTGCCCTGCGAGACACTTCAGGGGCCTCCGGGGACTTTCGTCGCAACATGCCCCTTCCCAGGCAGCAGTTCGACGGAGATGCGCTGCGAGGCATCTGTAGACGCGCTCCTATCTCGCCTCGCGCGCGGCCGCCTGCCCGGCGCCTGTCCACGCCTCACCACGATCTGGGCCCTGCTCCTCGACCAGATGGGGCCTCGGCTGACCCAAGCCTCGCTCTTCCAGCCGTTCCTGGAACCGGGACTCAACCTTGGCCCTAGGACACTGACCACGATTGCCGCCCTGCTCAACCAGTTCCGCGCCCTGTGGGAGCCGGCGGGTGACTTCTTCGCCTCGACGACACGCGGCCAGTCAGCACTCGAAGATACCATTGCCTCTCACGGTGGCGCCCAAGCGCTCCGCAGGCAAGCTTGCCGTGCGCTCCACCAAGCACCGACACCATTCAACCTCACGCTGGCCGGGCCGTCGGCTGTCGTCTTGGCTACGCTGAGAGCAGCACCGAACTCAACACTCGAGTACACGAGGAACATGACGGACAGCCAGCAGCTGGCTTGCTGTCCGAACGCGGGCACGTGTACCGGCGGTGGCGCGGACGGGTCGTACGGGCGTGAGGCGCTGGTCCCGGGCTCGAACTGCATCTGCGGAAGGACTGTCGACGGGTCAGGGGTTGCGTTCAGGACTGGGCTGTGTAAGGGGTACGATGCTTGTGATGCTGACAGACCCTGTGGCGAGGGGATGGCTTGCTTGGTGGATAGTTGCTGCGAGACAAACATCTGCGTCAATGGCACAGAGTGCAATGCGCCGGGGTTGGCGAGGAGGATGTTTGGAGGCATGGGTAGGGATGCTCGTGGTGGTGCGTAAAACAAGAGCGGCATGACGATGGAGAGTCGGTAGAGATTGGCGGAAACATGTTGCAAGCACAGCTTAGAGACCTGAGAACGCCATTTCACATGCATTTCACCCGCACATCACATCTTGGTAGCTTGAGCTGGCTTATTTTTTCGATTGTCTATGGCCCGATCCCTAGACACCGGCCCATCCTGCCATGATCCGTTTCGTGATTCATGAGCCGAAAAAGACTTTTGGCTGAGTTCATCCGCTGCGCTTCCTCCCAAACATGACATGCACCGTTTAAGCAGTGGTAGTCTTGGCGCCCTGGGTGGGGACGATCTTCTTGCCGTCCTTGTTGTAGCGGACGCGAGGAGGAGGGGCACGGTTGCGGCGGCCGACGACGGAGCGGACACTATAAACTTGTCAGCAAAGGTCCTGCTGCTGAAGGGATACTTCAGATAGCTTCGTATGGTGCTGACGCCACTCTCGCTCCCCCTGCTGCCCCGGCTCGTCGTTGACGAGACTGGTGCGGGCGGAGAGACAGTGGCGAGCGACCACACGACCAAGGCTCATCTGAAGCGCATGCGCGCAGCGAGGCGCGCAGCCGTCGCGTGTTGCGACGAACGTACCGGACAATCTTGCCGTGAATGGCGCAAGAGACGCAGTACTGCAGCTTCAGGTACATCTTGGGGACGGTGTACTCGGCGAAGACCGAGGCGTCAGAGATGTCACCTAGACTGTCGTCAGCATAATCCAGACAAGGGGCAAGAGAGCGAAAGGTGGCATACGGATGGCGGCAGACTCAACCATGTTGCGGATGGTGAACCTCTTGATCGCCTTGTCCTTGGGCGTGCATCGCGAGCAGTTGCTGCAGCGGATGGGCTTGACGTGGCCGCGGCCCTTCTTGTTGCGGCCGCTGGGGAGGTTGTTAGCTATGATCGATAGGCATGGCGGTCGAGTGCCTCGAGGAGGGTCGATCGGGTTGAGGCGTACTTGTTCTTTCTCTTCTTGACCATTTTGACGGATCTGCTGGGGTTAGTCGGCTGATGTGAAGGACGAAGGAAGAATCGACATACTGAGCTTTTCTGTGTCGAGGAAAAGTTGACGTTCGGTGGGCTGCAGGGGGGGCTCCGGGTCAGGGAAAGATGAACGCCTACAATTGGGGGAACTCGCTTGTGTTGGGATCCAGTCTGGTGATGCACAGTATTTCGGTGCCAGATCAACCCTAGTCACGTGTGGGCTCAGGCGCAATGTGGTGAATCTTTGTGGGTTCGCCAAACCAATGGTCCCAAATGTCCAAGCCCTGACTCTGCCCTGATCTCTGGAGCACCATTGCGACCCCCTGCCTGCCCTGTCGCCCGCTCGCTCGCTGGCTCGCCCCCCCTGGGCTCCACCCACCACCAATTCTTTTTACGCTGGCGCAACACCCACCCATACCTACTTCTTCTCCTCTCTCCCCCACGACCGCACCATCTGAAGGATTGCTTAGGAAGGCAAATATTTGTCGAGGTATGTCTGGAAGATGCTGCACACTGTCGTCCTCGTTTGCGCGATGAAGCCCGGGAAGGGGTGATTGTCGCCGTCGACTGGCAACGCTCGCTCGCGCTCTTATTCTCATTGCGCGATGTCGCCGCCGCGCCATGAACAAGGTCGAAATCTTTCTCTTCTCGGAAAACTTCATCGCCTGAACGCCGACGGTCAGTTTCCCTGCGAGGAGCATCAACTAACGAGCATCAGCAGGCAATCATGCAGATCTTCGTCAAGACCCTCACGGGCAAGACTATCACCCTTGAGGTGGAGTCGTCCGACACCATCGACAATGTCAAGTCCAAGATCCAGGACAAGGAGGGCATCCCCCCCGACCAACAGCGCCTGATCTTCGCTGGCAAGCAGCTTGAGGATGGCCGCACTCTTTCCGACTACAACATCCAGAAGGAGTCCACCCTGCACCTCGTGCTCCGCCTGCGTGGTGGTGGCAAGAAGCGCAAGAAGAAGGTCTACACCACCCCCAAGAAGATCAAGCACAAGCGCAAGAAGACCAAGCTGGCCGTCCTCAAGTACTACAAGGTCGACTCTGACGGCAAGATTGAGCGTCTCCGCCGCGAGTGCCCTGCCCCCGAGGTATGTGCAGAAACTCGCCCCCCAACTGAGCAGCAGTGTTTGAACAGGATGCTAACCCCTTGGACAGTGCGGCGCTGGTGTCTTCATGGCCGCCATGCAGGACAGGCAGTACTGCGGTCGCTGCCACCTCACCTACGTCTTCGACCAGAAATAAGCGACAGCATTGATGGACGATGGACGAAAAAAAGAGTGAGATGACACGACATGCACGGGTTTCGGGATGGGCATTCAGTCGGCTAAGGAAGGATGGCCGCGGCGTTGATGTAGCAAAACACCATCAGCCCATCAGAGGCTGGCAATGACAATGCTTTCAAGTTACCTCACTTCAATCGCTGTGCACACAATGTGATGTCTCCACTCGAATTCTCGTAACACAAGGCCAATAATTCCGAGAAAGGAAGGCTGCTACTCAAATCCGGCTCGCAGGTTGTCGTACTTCGTATGCGGCTGGGTGACACAGTTTTCCTGCCGCCGAAGACCTCCCGGACCTCCAAACGCCTGAACGACGTTTCCAATCAAGCTGTCAGGCCCTGTCTTGTCGGCACTGCTCTCCCACCACATGGCTCCGCCGAGCCCGCGATCCCGCACGAACTGTGCCTTTTTCCGCGCCATACCGACCGTGTCGTACGTGACGAGCTTCCGCCGCCCCGCGTCCCACGACCAGCTCGCCCCGACTTCGTCATCTTCCACCTCCTGCGCCCCCTCTCCCGGCAAGGCCTTGAAGTCCAGCACGCCCTGCTCCCAGCTGCCCTCGCCGACGCCTTGGTACGCACACCCGGGCCCGTCCGTGTTCTCAAACGCCCGACCGTAGAGCGGCATGCCCAGGACGATCTTGTCGGCCGGGACGCCGCTGGCCGTGTACCCCTCGAGCGCGGCGACGGTGCTAAAGGGCGTGGCGCCGGGGTTCGCGCCCGACGGTCGCAGGTTCGCTTGGTGCCCGGCTCTGGTGTCCCACGACCCGGCGTAGTCGTAGGCCATGAGGTTCCAAAAGTCGAGCAGCGGGTCCATCTCGGCGAGGCGCATGCGCTCGTAGTTCTGCGCGCCCGCCGGGCAGGCGACCGACAGCTCAAAGTGGTACGGCGCCGGCAGCGTGGCGGCGTAGGCGTCGAGGGCGCCGCGCACGGCGGCCAGCAGGGCGACGAGGTCGCGCGCCTCGTCGTCGTTTTGCGGGTATTCCCAGTCTATGTCTATGCCGTCAAAGCCGAGGTGCTTGACGAGGTCGACGCAGGTGCGGGCAAAGGTCTCGCGGCCGGCGGCCGTCGCGGCCGGGGCCTTGAAGTTGGACGAGTAGGTCCAGCCGCCGATGGACAGCAGGATCTTGAGGTTGCGGTTGCGGCGCTTCAGGAGGTTGAGCTGCTTGAGGCAGCCGTAGAGGTTTGTCCCCGAGTCGTTCCACGAGTCACCCTCCCAGTGGATGTCCGTGTCGGCCCATGTGTCGGTCAAGTATACCTCGCCCGACTCGGGACGGACGTTGGCGAATGCGTAGAGAACGTGAGTGAGGTTCTCTACAGGCAGGTCTTGTGGGCGATGCTTGCGGCCGTAGATGGCCCTGCAGAAAATTGCAAGTCAGCAGTCTACTCTGGGTGAAGACCATAATGGAAGCAACTCCATCGAGGAGAACCATACCAGTTCACAAAGTACGCAACGCTGCGGTAGCCCTCGCCTGGTCCGCCTCCCATAGTGTCAGTCGTGGTGAAGGGGAGGGGTAGATGGGCAAGAGTATCGGTGTAGGTATGCAAGAATAGCAATACTGTCAGGAGGACAGCGGCAGATGGTAAAATGGTAGGAATAGACTGCGCGAGATGCATATGTGGCCGTTATGCTGTGCAGGTGTGAGGTCGAAGACGAAACCCCAAAACGTCGTCAGGTCATGCCCCGCTGTATGTCACTGCCCAGCTTGTGAGGTCACTGCTCAGACGAGCGGCGGGGCATGAGTGTCGTGATTGGGCATATGAAGGGAATGCCCGTCTCCCAATTTCAACATCACCATCTTGAGGAGTCGAATATCCTTGAAAGGCACGGATTGCCTCCTGTTTGCATGGTCTTGTGCGACCTGAGATTCAGGCATGGCTCCGATGGCCATCCCACTGGTGTAGTCAAGAGGCCGATGAACTTTGTCCCCCGATGAAGTGGATACTACGCCGCCCCGTTGTGTCCTCGCCGAACCAAGGCATTCTCAATGTCACCAAGTGTCATTCTAGCTGAACCTTAACTCTCTCGGATAGTACAACTGCAGATGCTCGGTTTAGTTAGACAATGCGATGATTCTTGTAAATGATCGATGGAATCTTTTCTGCATCGCCACTGCGTGGCTCAGAGTCGCGACATGGTTGTCACGTGACTAACCAACTCATCCGCGGTCTTGGTAATCATCGCCAGGCAGCATCGCTGTCAACAGTCTACCATCACATTTGCTCTTCAACAGCACTGCCATGATGGGGCCCCTGGCGTTCTTTACACGAGCGCTGGTCGCTTTTGAGGTTTGTCATCCCTCTCACAATTGCCGGACATCTGCTAATTGGACTAGGACATCATCGTTCGACAGGTTTGCCATTTCTCCTCCCCCGTCCCGAAACTCGACTGACGGCCCAGATCCTCAAGAGCCCCGGCTTCCATCGCGGAGTTGGTCGCATTCACAAGATGGTACACGAGCGGAAATACGGCCGTAATCCCCATGAACCGCTGTACCCCGGAGAGGCTACTGGTACGTTTGTTTGCTCGGTAGAAGAGAACCTAGGCTGACTTTTTTTTAAGAGGATCACAGCGTCAAGTCGAGCACGGGCAAGTTCCGACAATACTTTGTGGAAGAGATCAAGGACCAATGGAAGGGGACAGTGAAGGACTATCCGCCAAAGCGATGATTGAATGGCCTGCGGAAGAATGACTGGACCAGGCGACCAAGCGAACAGGAACCGAACAGGTCGAAACACCCCACTCCAGGATGCGATCGAAATGAATCCCGGGCTTCTCGGCTTCGCATTCGAACGAACGAACAAACAAACGAACTCTACACCCCTTCATGCGCTGGAAAAATGCCGATGTTGGGAAGCAGCCGAGCCGCGATGACTATGTCCGCCTCACATGTGTCATAATACCTTATGCATAAGACGACCTACCTCTGGGGAGGTGTACAAAGCAGGAGCATGCACAGCGCCATCGGACGCTCTCAAACTACGGCAAGTATGCCGCGAGACACTTGGGGACTCGGGAGGCTATTCCACTACGGAATCCGAGACTAGGGCGACACCGAAATATCCGACGATGCGCAAACCCTATTCGGCCTTCTAGGAGATCCGAGGATGCCGCAGCGACGCTTGTACAACATTACTACAATCTTACCATACTTGACCCTCCCCCGTGTTAGCATTTTCGTATTGTGCTCATGGTACTCCTGCTGCTTACAGTCTCGAGTCTGCGGGTAGTTCCTGTTCAGGTGCTTGGCAATGATAGGACCTTAACTCCGCGGCACACAATCTCGCGCAACACCTGGTCCTCATGGCGACGTCGGGAGGAGTGCAGAGGCAACATTGTTAAAGGGATCGTCGGAGCAGACTCGCCCGCCTTGTCGTCCCTGTCGATCCGGGGCTGTTGCCGATTGATCAACGGAGCTCGAGCGCCGATCAGAGACCCCTCGACCTACGGAGCCAAGAGCTTGAAGGACCTTGCATTTCTTTGACAAGTTGATTGTGTTGCACTCTGGCATCGGTCTGCACCATCCGACCAAGTACGGTGCCTGGGCGACCACGTGAAGTCGTCAAGGGGGGTCGTACGAGATCAGGCGTGATGGAACCAGCGATACCACACAGATTTCCCGCCCTTGAGGGAAACACCTCATTCCGCCATGTCGTTGCAATCTTGGTTTCCCCGCATGCATTTCGTTTGCATGCCTTGGCGAAGGGTGTCGATGAAATAAAGTGGCCGTTTGGGCGGTCTTCGCGGCCAAGACCTTCCGGCCTAGCCTTATTGCGGACCTCGGAGGAAGCCGCAGCGACCACCACAACGATGCCAATTAATGCTCGCCACCAAAACTGAAGGCGACATCGTGGGCATCCATGAGGCACCTCAAACTGCCGTTTTGGTTCCGGCGCAAGCCACCCGAACGGCTTGTCGGGCTGCATTGCGGCCATGTCGACGATGCCATTTATTGACCGAATGCTGCTGTTCACCTTTGCTGGCCACTCACGCTTCACGTCATTCTCTCGACTGTCGCCATCATGAAGTCGCAAATCGGTTTCGCCGCGCTCCTGGCGCTCTCTAACCAGGCTCTGGCCCAGCAGACGGCGTATGGCCAGTGTGGTGGTAACGGCTGGACTGGCCTTACGACCTGCGTCTCTGGCTACTATTGCAATGTGTACCACGAGTGTAAGTGAAATCATCCAAGCGAATGGCCTCAAACCGCAGATGGCTAACATGATCAGGGTACTCTCAGTGCATTCCCGGTCAAGCCCCCCCGGGCACAACTACCACGGCCCCGGCTCCTCCTGGCACGACGACCAGCACCAGACCTGCCACCACGTCAACCACTTCTAGGCCTGCCACCACCTCTGCGGGCACCACCTCTGCGGTCACCACCAGGGTTTCAACAACTACGTCTTCGGCGCCTCCCCCTGCGACGACAACGTCCGCAGGTAGCTGCTCCAGCGCGTTCACGTCCATCTCGGCCGCCGATTACGTCGATGCCATCAGCCCCGGCTGGAACTTGGGCAACACGCTCGATGCCATCCCTAACGAGGGTTCCTGGGAACAACCCGCCCGTTGATGACGGCACCTTTGACCATATCGTTGACGCCGGCTTCAAGAGTGTCCGTATTCCGGTCACCTACACCGCCCACCTCACCAGTGGCGCGCCCAACTGGACTGTCGACCCCGTGTGGCTGCAGCGCGTCTCGGATGTCATTGATCAAGCTCTTGCTCGCAACCTTTATGTTATCACCAACGTGCACCACGGTACGTCTCAGAATTGCTTCTTCCTGGTGGCTTGGTGGCTTGCTCACCGCCATCTCGCTGGCTTCCGCTGACAGACTGAAGATTCGTGGGAGTGGGCCGACGTGCGCAGTGGCGACCTCGCTGTTATCCAGCAGCGTTTCCGCGCCATCTGGGTGCAAATCGCTAAGAAACTCGCTTGCAAGAGCTCTCGTGTTTCGTTTGAATCCATTAACGAGCCCCCTGCCGACAACGCAGTCGATGGCGCCAACGTCAACAAGTTCAACGAGCTTTTCGTCAGTGCCGTCAACGAGGCCGGCGGTCACAACGCCAAGCGTGTTCTCCAGCTGGCCGGCGGTGTCAGCGACCCTATCAAGACGACTCAGTGGTTCAAGGCCCCCGCCAACATTCAGAACCCTTGGGCCCTTCAGTTCCACTACTACTCGCCCTACGACTTCATCTTCAGTGCCTGGGGCAAGACCATCTGGGGCTCTGCCGCTGACCGCGCTGCTCTGACCGCCGACTTCCAGGCTGTTCGCGGCAACTTCTCCAACGTGCCCCTCGTCCTCGGCGAGTTCGACGCCAGCCCCCTCAACACGGAGCCTGCCGCACGCTGGAAGTGGACTGATCATCTCGCCCGCATTGCTACCGATCTTGGCGTTGCTCTCGTCATCTGGGACAATGGTCTGGATCATCTCGACCGGAACACTGGCGTCTGGCGCGATCCCGTCTCCATCGCTCTCATTGAGGCTGCCGTTGCTGGCGAGCGCAGCTCCCTTCCCGACAGCACGGAAGATGCCGGCGCGTCGACTCAGTCGTCGTCTGCCTACCTCTGGAACAAGGTCGGCAACGCTGTGGCTGACCAAGTGCTTCCCTGGCTCTTCAACGGTAACACCCTGACTGGTATCACAACCCAGACTGGTGACGCCTTGTCGGCGGGTTCCGATTACACCGTGTCCTCCAATGCCATCACCTTCAAGGCCGGCTTCCTTTCTGACTATCTCGGCCCCAACGTGACTCCTGGCAGCAAGGCCAACCTTACTTTGACCTTCTCGGCCGGCGCCCACTCCAACATTGAGGTTGTCCAGTGGGACACCCCTGTTCTCGTCACCGAGCCCGATGCCACTCCCGGCCAGGACCTCCAGATCCCCATCCAGTGGAAGGGCGTGCCCGTGCTTGCCGCTGTGCGTGCTGAGGCTACCGACGGCACCATCCTGTTCGATGACTGGACTCAGTGGCTCGGACCTCTGCAACGTGGCCGCCTGGTAAGTTCCGAAATGCCCGGCATACGAGCTTGTTTGCTAATAAGCGACACAGACGTTCAACAACCACTACTTCTGGGAGGGCAGCAATGTGATCCTGCGCGCGTCGGCAATCGCCGCCGTGCTCGAGCTGAACAAGGCCGTCAAGTTCACCTTTGAGTTCTACCCCCGTGTGGCGGGCAACTCGGTCACCTACACGCTCGACCCGACGGACGAGTGTTAAGCGTCTCTGGGAGATTACGGAACCAGGAAATCCATGCCATATTGTGCTGTAGCGTATGCGCCGTTTTCAAACCCTCATACAAAGCTACACCATGCGTCAAGTTGTTCCGAGCACCCGTGACTCCGGAGAAATCCATTGATCCCAAGAAATGAAACGTTCCTCTGCCGGTTCGTCTGCCGCCAACGCCCTGCCTGCCCCACCAGCTTGTCATTCCATAGGCCCTCGGATCTGAGACGTAACTTTGGTATCACTTGTTTCCACCACTCGTGTGTCTTGACGTGACCGAAAGCCTGCAGCTGATTCTCTCCTCACATAGAAATGTACTCCGTAGTATCTTCCCATGCAACTCCGGGCGTATCAGACATCTCTCTCGGAGGCTGTTTCCATTGGCTGCTCAGGTTGTACAACTGAACAGTGAGGCTTCGTCTGCCTTGTGGGACGGAATGGCTTGCAGCGGTGGACCCGCAGCCTGCGCAACTCGTCAATCTTTCCGCTTCTGCAATTTTTAGTCTTTGAAACGTACGACTTCGGACTGCCACTGTGGCCCCTCGAGTCTTCCTTCTACGTCTCAGAGACGACCTGCATTGTTTTGGGGCGGTGGTTGAGGTTCCTTGGGAGGAATTTTGACCTTTTCTACGCGCCCGGCCTCATTTGCAGGACCCTCTGCTAAAATTTCACACTTCGGCATCGGTCGAAACGCCGGATTCCGTTTGGCGACGTTTATGTAGTGGCCCGAAGGGGCGTCGGGTGCTTGAACGTTTAGTAGCTGCCAGCTTCGCCAGAGGGGTAATTAGAATCGCGGAAGAAGCATCATTGCTTTAAACACAAAGCAAACTGGGTATCGACTTATGGCTGGGGTTCGGGTTCTATCATCAATGGCTTCACATGGCTCGGGCACCAGCCGCCCATGTGCGACACGATTCATGCCGCCGAGCCTTGTCGGATTGCCCGATGGTCGTAGCGTCACATGGCACCAAGGCCACACAAAAGTATTCGTTGATCATGAAAAAGAGAGGGTAAAGACCAATGAAAGATCTTCGTAATTGAAATTTCCTCGAAACTGCAAATTGTGTCTGATTCTCGGCTAATAGAAAACCAGGCTGACATCACCGATGATGATTGTAAATGTTGTAACTCATTGGTCGGAACAGGCTGAAAGGCTCCTCACCGATCTTTTACCCAGCATTCGGCAGGCTAGGACCTGGCCAATGTCAGCTGCCACGTCAGCCTTGGCAGTCTTTTATATACCTAGGCCCTCCTCTCATCATATGAGACTCCTCCTACAGCCGCCACTAACACATCCAGCCCCAGAACTCATCGTAAGTACCCTCCCAGACCTTAAGCCGCCATAGTATCCTCGGCATATGTCTCAGCGCCTAGGAGGCGCAACGGCCGACGCGGAAAAGAATGCCAGGAGCTCCGGGAGCCCGAGCGACCATGATATTAAGGATAGGACGTGGTGAGTACACACCCTCAGATGCCCTGATATCCTGAATGAATGGATTTGGTAACCCGAGCAGGAAGTTCGTCGGAAAAAACGGCCTGGTTTCGTTTCTAGCATCAGATCCCGAGTTTTTCGCAGTCAGACGGTTTGACAAGCTACACACGTTATCCCTTCTTAGCCTCCAAGATGAGTTAGCAAGCTATGAAGAAAAGCTCGACAATATGAATGCCAGATTCAGCTCACAGAATGTTATGCTAGTGGGCAGGTGCCCATCAGTAATCGTCGAAGTTCCGCCAGGAGGATTCACCCCGGAAGAAGAGGCCTCGAATCAAGAAAGGTATGGCGTCAATGCTGTACCAAGACACATCAACAACGGCACCTTTCGTGACGAAGTAGCTGAACGCAAAGAGCTGACGGAGAAGATGACTTCAAGGCTCATGGTATACGGTAAGCACCATGAGGAACCTTAGCAGACCTTGCAGCTAATCAGAGGTCTAAACAAGTTGCTCTTGCGCTACTACACGCTTCACTCGAAGACGAAAGCGCCCCAATGGACCAGAGAGAGTATCGAGAATTGGTTCTATAACAACAAGGGGGCAGTCGTGGAAGATAAGCAGGGCTTTATAAAGCACAAAGATGATTTGAGAGGGCTTCGTGAAGAAAAGTCACTGATGCGGCGGTTCTTCGAACACAAAATCATTTATCCGACAGGAATAGGAACGAGACTACGTTTCTTCCAAAAGGAACCGGCAGAGGACCTCGGTTGCCAAGAAACGTCGACGTATTATCGGTACAGCGACGAGGGAATCGACAGGCTCGCGCTCTTTGCTTCTCTTTCAGTCACGATTGCTATGTTTCTCGCACCAATGTGGATCATGCACACTTTGGACAGTGGGCAAACGAAGCTGATTGTTATCACATGCTTTTCTTTGACCTGGTTCGTGTTTCTGGCTGTTGCAGCGATCGGGTCGGCATTGACCAACTTGGCAGCAACAGCGGGGTGAGTACTGACCCCGATACTGGTCACCAGGCATATTGGCTAATCAAGGTCTCCCTCAGTTATTTGGCGGTCATGGTCGTTTTCCTGCAGATTGGGCAATCTAATGCGTGAGGCAACGTACTGGCTACTTGGACGGTAGATAGGTATCTTCAAGCAAATGATTACTCTCGCGTCCATGGCCGAGCCGCCGACCCGTGCCCGAGCCGCCGACCCGTGCCGAAGTATCGAGGGCCGAGTGGGGCCGGATTTAGTGGATCGAGTGCACATCTTAATCCAACGTCCCACCAAGTCCCACCCCTCACACCGAGTCCTTGCTGTTACTCACGACTCCACGACCCAAGACGGCCATGGACACAAGCAACCTTCCGCCGACATCATCCTCATGCTCTGCCGCACATTACTTCCCGAATCGGCGCCGCGTCTGGCAAGCATGCACCAACTGCCGAGCCCGCAAGACGCGGTGCGATGCGGCGAAACCGAAATGTAGTCTATGCATGGCTCAGAACGTTGACTGTGTGTACAAGGATTCGAACCAGCCACGCATCGATCACAATACTCGAATCATGCTGGAGCGTATTCAAATGCCCGAAGATCGGTTCTTCTCCGCCCCAGTCTTCGGTTAACCTGCGACAACATCCCCACATCCTCCACAGCCGCCCGTTCAGCCAGACTCTACTGAACAGCTCGGAGGAGCAACCTCTTCCTCTCACCTCGGAGATCACCACGGCGATGCCATGAGCACAGATATTCCAGAAACTGACCAGCAGATTCCTAGCCCGCTGTCACATACCGCCAACGCGAATCACGTTTTGGAATGGCCCATCGTCCAGCAGCTACTGACTCAGACACATTAGCTCCACCACCAAAGCCGACTTCAGGTGATATGCAATCGACAGAAGTGTCAGAGCGCTGTTTAGAGCAGAGTGAAGAGGTCTTCCATACGTGGTCCGTAGCGGATAGAAGATAGGTAGGGGCTCGGAATGCATCTGAATTCTGGCCCTCCGCAGCTTGGATCGCAGCCTATATATACGTTTCTCGTAGCCCTTAGCCCCTGACAGACCCCCTGCTTGGTGACTCCGCAGGGAAGCCCTCAGGGCCCCCTGACAAGAAGCTACAGATATCTTCTTCACCCAGGACGCGCATGCAGCGCCGAGCCTGTGCCCGCCGGAATCTCGGAGGCTCTCCAACAAGCAGGATCTCGCTTCTTCTGGTGTTATGGAATACTACCGCGAACTCATCCAGACATACTCTGACGAAGTCAATATAGATGTCTGTGGCCCGTCTCGCGCCCGCTGACCCCGCAGTTCCTCCACAGCCCAGCAACTCTCCCCCCGCGCCGCGACGGCCACGAGCCCCGCCTCGTCATCCCTCGACCGCACCGAGGCGCTCGTCGCCTTCCAGATCAGCACCAACGCTGCCATCCGCCGCTTCCTCAACAGCGTCAACAGCGCCGCCTACAACAGCAAGGACCAGTGTCGCACGACGCGCGCCAACTACGCCAACTAGCTCCTCCGCATCACGGAGGACCTCTGGTCCTTCCACGGCGCCATCTACCGGACCCTCCCCGGCTTTCTCCTCACCAGCAGGCCGCGCAAGCCCACGGGGTCGCCCGCCACCCCGGGCTTCCCGTCCGTCGAGGAGCTGGGCAACAACCCGTGAAACGTGCTGCGGCTCGAGGGGCGCTACGATGCGGGGCAGTACATCATCCACCGCCCGTTCATCGAGTACGTCCTCCTCAACGTCGGTCACTTTGCGACGCATCCGTGCCGCGAGGCCGTGCTGGAGCGGTGCCAACTGTGTCTGCTCGGGTGCCAGGTGTTCATCCATGTCTTTGACGTGGATCCCACCAACAGCGTGACGGGGCCCTCCGCCGCGGGCATGGTGTAAGTGTTGTCTGTATCCTTCTTGTAGCCTTGATCTGCGATGCTGACTGCGCAGGACGTTCGCGATGGTTATCATCTTGAGAGTGGCAACGATGTGTCCTGTGTTTTGCGATATTCTGCCGGCAGAGATTGAGCGTGCCATTGTTGTCGGTGGGCGGAATCTGCGTCGGTTCAGTGGAAGTGTCAGGGAGTTTGAGTGGCATCTGGGCGTCTTGGAGAAACTGGAAGAATCTTGTCGCAGGAATAGGGGCGATGAATGAGCTTGTCACAGTACAATGCAGTGGCACACTCATCATTCTATGAACTCGAGGCTATTGGCTTCTGCAATGATATAATTATAAGGATTATCGAATCTTATAAGGAAGCCCTTCTAGGCTTATATTTCTATCTTATTAGTATATAGGGGGCGGAGAATACCCTTCTTATATATATAGGTAATATAGCTATATATATATAAACATTAAATAAAGGGTATCTACTATTCCTTAAGAAGGCCGAGGAAGCTAGTAAAATGCTCCTAAGGAGCCTTATTATAAGGGTTCGATAAGATAAATAATAGGTTAATAATTTCTATTATAATCTTAGTAATATAAAGCTATAGATTAATAGGTAGTCTTATTATAATAATAATAATATAAATAGCTTCTAAAATACTACGATTAGCGTATTCTACGAAGCTATTCTAAGCTAAGGTATTAAGTATAGATAGATAGAATAAAGCGCCCTCCTTAGCTAATATTATCTTAATATTAAGGTTATCGAATTCGTTACTTCTATCGTAAATAATAGAGATAATAAGGAGGCTAATAGAAGCTTTAAAATAATAAATAAACCTTTTAATATAGAAATAAATCTCTTATTTAATCTTAGTCTTTATAAAATAGATCTAATAGAAGCTATTATAACGATTAATAATATATAGGGTATAATAAAAGCTATCCTTAAGACTCGAGGGCTTATAATTAATAAGATCTATAAAGACCTTATAATTAAGGGCTAAGGATAGATAAATAATAGAGCGATTTATAACCTTAATACTTTTAGCTAAATAATAAGCTATATAATTAAAATTACGTATTTCCTAATAATTAAAGAGGATATTTACTTTTATATAAATATTAATAATATATTATTCTCTAATATAAAGAAAGTATTTATATATAATATAGAAAGGAATTACTTTCTTAGACTTTATTATAATAATAATTATATAATAAATAATCTTAATAGGAAAGTTAATAAAAGTAAGAATTAATATTATTATAATACCTTATTCCTAAATAGTTCTTATTAATTAAATAATATTAATAATATATATTATAGATTTAATATAGAAATCGTATTTAATCCTTAAATAACTTAGAAGGCTTAATAATAGTAAGTTTATAGGGCTTTTAAGGAGATATCTAATAACGTAAATAATTTAGTTAATAAAAAATAATAGGATCTATAGAGTCCTAGACTTAGAAGAATATACTCTTAATATTAAAGGGCTTAATAGCTTAATTATTAATTATATTAATCTTAAGAAGTAAAGTATTCTTAATATATATTAAGAATTAAGTAAAATTATTAAATATATTAACGTTATTACTTAAATCGAGGATAATTATATCTTAGCTATAAATCTTAGCTATTAAAGAAGTATTATTTCCTTTCTAAATAGGTAATAGAGTCTTAGTAAATAATACGCCCCATTAATAGTAATTTATTTATTAATATTATAGAAGAGCTTAATAAGGTGG